ATGCCGTTGTCGGATGTTTCTTCATGGATGCTGAATTTTCCGGGGCCAAAGATATTTCCCTTCCGATTTTTGCATTAAAATCTCCTAGCAGAATTTTAATGTCATGGCCAGGGCAACGGTCATATGCTGTTTCTAGGCGCTCGTAAAATATTTCTTTGGTCTGTTCATTTTTATTTTCGGTCGGAGCATGGGCGCAAATTAGACTGATGTAAAAGAATTTCGCTTTTATACGGATTATAGCAATTCGCTCATCTACTGGAGTGAATCTGGAGATAAGGTATTTTATTCTCCTGTTAACCATAAATCCGCAGCCAAATTCATGTCTCGTTTCATGGCAGCTATAATACAGGGCGCAATCGTCTGATTTACTTACGCCTGTCCCTTTCCATCGCATTTCCTGTAAGGCAATAATATCGGCTTTGTACTTCTTGAGCATATCCGCCAAAGCGAATACTGCGCCTGTTCTGTACAACGTGCGCACGTTCCAAGTGCAGATTCGCAGAACGTGGTCCTTTATACGTTTTCGGGGTCGTCAACATTAGGGGGGTTTGGTTTTCTTTTTCTTTGCTTTTTCATAGTAGGTTGGGTTTTCCGAGAGTGTTCAACTAACCCGACGCCTCAACCCATTTTTTATAGTTCTTATGGGTGAACTCGCGGCACGTATTAGCTCACTATTTCAACTAACATACCAATTGAATTAAAGGTGCGGCTTTAGTTATGATACGCAGTGTATACAGGGACTTTGGTGCACCATTTACATTAACGAAAATATATATGGGAGCTATATCTAAATCTGAACCGATTTTCACGAAACTTAACACACATCACTCTAGACTTATTTCAGTACGCTGTGCCAAATTTCGTTCATATCGAAAGATATATAGGGACTGTGATTCACTATTTGCATTAAATCGGACGAAAATATATATGGGAGCTATACCTAAATTTGAATCTTTTTTCTCCAATTACAATAATTTTCGTCATTGTGCCAAATTTTATCCAAATCGGATCATGAATGCGATCTGTACTTTGTTCACAAGGGTACATGGACAGAAGTACGGACATGCATAAATATTGAACTTTGTGTCTATCTCGTTTCCTTTTAGCTGTTACAAACATATGCACAAAGACATAATGCAACAGTGTGGTGAATAGCTTCCGAAGAAAATCAAATATGTAATATCATGATGTCCATATATTGCACATGTTATTTTATTTACCAACCTAGACTGCAGACGAAGTAAACTGGTCCACTTTTTTCGGTATCATCCGCAAAAAGCGTTAAAATTTTGAAAATATATATCATCAAGTAGGCATATCCGCATTAATCCAAGCTTTTTTACATCGTAATATTTGTATTAACCGAAGATGGAGCCACCGAAACTTTCCCTACAAAGAGTCGATATTTAGAATTATTAAAAATTCCATATGAAACGTATGAGTGTCCGTTTGGTACAAACTTTTTACAACGCTTTGCTTCAGTCAATATTTTGTGTGTTGGTTCGAACTATAATCGGTCTCTATATATATATATATTTTTTTTTTTTTTTCATTTTACAATACCAACAGTTGTATCTATGCCCAGCGTAGTCAACTTTTCTTTTAACAAAAAGGTTACTATGTGTTCGTAATATAAATTCATAAATAAATTAGGAGAGAGTATGTTTAGTTTGCCATTCCGTTCGTAACCTAACGAGATAATTTGTAAGGTCATATATATTGATGTAAAGAAAGAATTCGCAATATTTGGGATAAAAATTATGTACGTAAATTGCTACTACTCCTAGGGTGATTGGTATTTAATGGGTTATATCGGTCCACGTTTTGATATACTTCCCATATAAACTTGGTATTCGCATATAATGTTCAATCTAAGTCCGTGTTATGACGTTGTCTCCATTTTAAATAATTTATTGATCCGAACCGAATAGGCTAAATTTTGGCATTCCTTTTTTTAGTGGACACAAGAATTCTCTACCGAAACTCTTCAATACAGGGCTATTTTTTACTTTTTCTAGCATATACAAATATCTTCCAATTTTGTCGCATTTTCTAATAGAAGTGTTGTCGTTATATCTATGGTGGAGGGTATGTCGGAATTCACTCTGACTGATCTAAAAAACCTTTTTACTTGTTTTTTTACACAAATTAATTAAATTTCGCTCAACGTTTATCAGATAGAATGGAATTTTTAATTACAAGTTATAGTTATACCCTTCACCACACTGTGGTACAGGGTATTATGTCTTTGTGCATATGTTTGTAACAGGCAAAAGGAAACGAGATAGACACATGGTTCCTTTTGAGAATATGCATAGAATCACTTTCTAAGTCGATTTATGCATGTCCGTCCGTCCGTCCGTCTGTCCATGTATTTTTGTGAGCAAAGTACAGGTCGCATTTATGATCCGAATTGGATGAAATTTGGCACAGCTCTTTTGTCTGGCCCAAGGACGAACCCTATTGAAATTGGGAAAAAATCGGTTCAGATTTAAATATAGCTCCCATATATATATTTAACCGATTTAATGTAAACGGTCCCTATATATCTTTCGATGTGCACGAAATTTGGTACAGCCTAATCATTTAGGTCTAGAATGATGTCTGCCAAGTTTCGTGAAAATCGGTCAAGATTTAGATATAGCTCACATATATAGTTTCGTCCGATTTCGTGTAAATGGTGCCCCAAAGTCCCTATATATCCTACGATTTGCACGAAATTTGGCATAACGTACTGAATTGAGCCTAGAGTGATGTCTGCCAAGTTTCGAGAAAATCGGTCCTAATTTAGATATAGCTCCCATATATAGTTTCGTTCGATTTTATGTAAATGGTCCACCAAAATCCCTATTTATCTTTCGATTTGCACGAAATTCGGCATAACGTACTGACTTGAGCCTAGAATGATGTCTGCCAAGTTTCGAGAAAATCGGTCCAGATTTAGATATAGCTCCCATATATAGTTTCGTCCGATTTCATGTAAATGGTGCCCCAAAGTCCCTATATATCCTTCGATTTGCACGAAATTTGGCATAACGTATTGAATTGTGCCTAGAGTGATGTCTGCCAAGTTTTGAGAATACCGGTCCAGATTTAGATATAGCTCCCATATATAGTTTCGCCCGATTTCATGTAAATGGTGCACCAAAGTCCCTATATATCCTTCGATTTGCACGAAATTTGGCATAACGTACTGAATTGAGCCTAGAGTGATGTCTGCCATACCTATATATCTTTCGATTTGCACGAAATTCGGCATAACATACTGACTTGAGCCTAGAATGAAGTCTGCCAAGTTTCGAGAAAATCGGACCAGATTTAGATATAGCTTCCATATATAGTTTCGTCCGATTTTATGTAAATGGTGCACCAAAATCCCTATATATCCTTCGATTTGCACTAAATTTGGCACAACGTACTGAATTAAGCCTAGAGTGATGTCTGTCTTGTTTCCTGAAAATCGGTTCTGATTTAGATATAACTCCCATATATAGTTTCGTCCGATTTCATGTAAATGGTGCACCAAAGTCCCTATATATCCATATAGGAAATTTGGCATAACGTACTGAAGTGAGCCTAGAGTGATGTCTGCCAAGTTTCGAGAAAATCGGTCCTTATTTAGATATAGCTCCATATATATATTCGCCCGATTTCATGTAAATGGTGTCCCAAAGTCCCTATATATCTTTCGATTTGCACGAAATTCGGCATAACGTACTGACTTGAGCCTAGAATGATGTCTGCCAAGTTTCGAGAAAATCGGTCCAGAGTTAGATATAGCTCCCATATATAGTTTCGTCCGATTTTATGTAAATGGTGCACCAAAGTCCCTATATATCCTTCGATTTGCACTAAATTTGGCACAACACACTGAATTGAGCCTAGAGTGATGTCTGCCTTGTTTCGTGACAAGTTTGTTTGAAATCGCTTAATATTTGGATAAAGCTTCCATATATATTTTCGCCCGATTTCAAGTAAATTGGGCATCAAACTGCTTATGTTAGTCAGATTGACATTAAATTTTGCACAACTTACAAAATTGAGCATAGAATTACGTAGTTGCGTTTTCTAGAAGTACAGATATAGCCCAACGGATGACCTATTTATATTTGTTTGAAGTCGATTTACATACTTTTGTCCCATTGTAACAAACGAATGACATGTCTATGGATAGATCTAGGTAGATTCACATTTAGATATATATCACATATTTTATTTCATCCAATTTCATGTTAATAGTCCTGTTTAATATACCCATAGTGGTGAAGGGTATCATATAGTCGGCCCCGTCCGACTTTACTACTTTCCTTACTGGTTTTTTATTTGCCAACATAAATTTAATACTATATTTAATGACATACTGCGGGCTGACTAATGAAATTAAAGAACCAAATAATATCGGCGTGTGGACTGAAATTGTAGTAATGGTGTTTCTGATAAACGCAACGACACTAGTCGGACTACTGCAAATATGGTTAGATCCAAATCGATTTAATGTACGGTTAGTGGATATTCTACGAGAGGTGAGGAGAGAGCGTTATTATCAAACAATAATCTATATGAAACACGATGAAGATGGACAGACCCTGGAGGGTTATCACGAGGATGAAATTTCAAAACGTTTACAAATGCCTATGATACAACTTCGAGGCAACGCATCAATTTATTTATGGCCGAAATTTAACCGACAAATGTTGTCAGTAGTCTGGGTAAATGGTAATAAGCACAAGGATAAAAAATTGTTGGAGACTCTATGGAAAATTCTAAGAAAACTGCTAAAGACCAGACTGTTTTTGATATTTAAAGCTGAAGAGAATCGTGGATACCTAGAAGAGATAATAAAATATTGTATTAATCGCAAGGCTATAAATGTTGTGGCAATAAAGGATGATGTTGTGAAAATCCCTTTGATATTTAGTCCACAAATATTTCCATCGTTCGAACTAAAAATTCGGGAAATAAACAAATCAATGGGGTACTATAAAAATCATATGAAAAATATGCATAAAAGTCCATTGCGTTTAAACCTTAAACGGGATAGCACCAAGTCGTACATTTTAAACGAAGTGAACGGAACATATTCTCTAGGTGGCCACGTCGGGCACTTTTTTGATGAATTTGCCAAAATCCATAACGCTACGATAACATTTCCCTGTGGTTACTCCGATGCCTTGATATTTGATGACCTCTTGGATAATAATACCATTGATATGTCCCAACAGTTATCCTATAATATCGACATAAGTGATAGGGTCTTCAGTGACTCCTATGAATTCTTTGACTGGTGCATAATGGTACCCATAGAGAAGCGAATTCCGAACTATATGTATTATGCCAAACTTTTCAATTTTGACATTTTATGGCTTATTTTGACAACGGTTGTGCTCTTGACATCATCAATTGCCTTATCATTGTGGTTAGATGGCAATACGATGCGTATCTGGGAATCTCTTCTATACATCTACAATGGAGTATTGGGCCAACCATATCAAATGATCAATAATCCATCGCGTGTTCGCTGCGCACTCTATATGTTAACATGTCTTGGAGGTATTATTCTGAACACAACCTATAGTTCATACCTGCAAAGTTTTCATGCCAGCCCACCCAAGGAGAAGGCCATCAACACTCTAAACGATGTCTTGGCCAATCGAAGGAAAATCCTAATGTACAAGGATGAATATGAAATAATGGTCAAATATCTCGCCCAATCGAATAAAATATATGCAAAAGTTATAAAAACTGTACCAACCTTTTCGGAATTTTATAAATTGCGTGACAGCTACGACACACGTTACTTATATACCGTACCCTCAGTGCAGTGGCGTCAATACGATGAACAACAGAAATTCTTTGCCAAAAGGAAATTTCGTTTATCCGATATTTGTTTTATGAAAATGTCACCGCTAATGATAACAATGCAAGCCAATTCACCATTTGAAGAGCCCGTTAATGAAATGATTGGTCTTCTGCGTCAGGCTGGCCTTCTCAGGCACTGGCAATGGATGGCATTCTTAGAAGCTATACAAAGGAAACGCATAAGTTTGTTGGATCACAGTGAAAAGAATATTTTCGAGCCAATGAAATTTGAAGACACTATATGGTTTATGTGTTTGTATTTGATTCTTTGTGGTGTGTGTGTTCTAAGTTTCCTATTGGAAATTCTTTGGTCACGACGTCATGACAACCTTGTGGATGGCGGTTGATATAGAAAACAAAATACTGTAATGACATTAAATAAAGACAAGCATACTACAAAAACTATTTTTTTTTATCATGTGTTTATTTTTTAACAGTTGCTGTCGCTTAAAAGGTGTAAGCGTTGCAAGCCAAAAGATTCAAAAATCCTTGATCGAAATTTGTATACCCTCGCCATTGAGAAATCCAGCGAAGAAGGATTAGAGTCGGGCGGTTGCCGAAAATGTAATATGTTACACTACCGGACTTCTACATTTGCAAGGATTCATATTATAATCGATATTTTATTCAATAATATAGTTCATATATGAGAATTACATAAGTACCCATTATATAAATACCCATTTTGAGTTCATATATGAGAATTATATAAATACCCATTTTGAGTCTCATAACTATATTTGTTATAGCTATAACTACAGTACGCAGTGCATATTTAATTTGTTGTAATATGTATTTTAGTTCCGCCAACGAATATATTCAGTGACGAACAAAAGTGTACGAACGTTTGTACATTTTCTACTAATAACAATTGCAACTCTGGTTATCGTGAACGACAGCTAAAATGTTTATTTTGCAAGTGTCAATTTATAATTTACTACTACCTGACCCGGCAAACGTTGTTTTGCCTTAGTTATAGGTATATTTAATTTTTAAACAAATTGTTAATTAGTTTTCAGATTGTCGTTCTACATTTGTATATGTTTGCTATATATTCTATATATAGTTTTTGATAGTTAAGTGGGAAAAGTTTGACCCATGTTGAATCCGTATACCTAAAAAACCATATGTCTTAAAAAACAACAATTTATTTAAACATTAAAGCTCGATACAAAAATTGGGGAATTGTACATATTACGTAATATATTGGTTTTAGCGTAATCTCACAATTATTTTGTATATTGTGACCACATACGATTTATAAGTTCTTTGAATCGTCAAAATCGGTGCAGACGTTCTTGACGATGTAACTATCACAACGTTCGATTATTCCAATTTCCCGAAATTTGATGTTTTTCTCAACATTTTCTTCGTAAACCCCTTCCCAATGCAATTACACATCTTTAAAAATACATTTTAGGAACCATAAAGGAACATATAAGTTAGACACAAACAGCATGTAATGCGGAATTGCTTCCATGTATTTGTAATCGTATATAGCGAATTGCTAACATTATTGAACTATATTGAATATATTGATAGACGTTTTCGTTTTTACTAAAGCATAAAAACGTATGTCTATGTATTGGAAATTTTCTCAAAAATATTCCTGGTGTTGCTTTCTATTAAGGACATGATCATTAGACCTCGGATTTTGCATATTTGCATATTTTTATACCCTTCGCCACACTGTGGTACAGGGTATTATGTCTTTGTGCATATGTTTGTAACAGGCAAAAATAATCGAGATAGACCCATGGTTCCTTTTGAGAATATGCATAGAATCACTTTCTGAGTCGATTTACGCATGTCCGTCTGTCCGTCCGTCCGTCCGTCCGTCCGTCCGTCCGTCTGTCCATGTTAAATTGTAAACAAAGTACAGGTCGCATTTATGATCCGAATTGGATGAAATTTGGCATAGGTCACTTATTTGGCCCAAGGACGAACCCTATTGAAATTGGGAAAAATCGGTTCAGATTTAGATATAGCTCCCATATATATATTTAACCGATTTAATGTAAACAGTCCCTATATAACTTTCGATTTGCACGAAATTTAGTACAGCCTAATCATTTAGGTCTAGAATGATGTCTGCCAAGTTTCGTGAAAATCGGTCCAGATTTAGATATAGCTCCCATATATAGTTTCGTCCGATTTCATGTAAATGGTGCCCCAAAGTCCCTATATATCTTTTGATTTGCACGAAATTTGGCATAACGTACTGAATTAAGCCTAGAGTGATGTCTGCCAAGTTTCGTGAAAATCGGTCCAGATTTAGATATAGCTCCCATATATAGTTTCGTCCGATTTCATGTAAATGGTGCCCCAAAGTCTCTATATATCTTTCGATTTGCACGAAATTTGGCATAACGTACTGAATTGAGTCTAGAATGGTGTCTGCCCAGTTTCAAGAAAATCGGTCCAGATTTAGATATAGCTCCCATATATAGTTTCGTCCGATTTCATGTAAATGGTGCCCCAAAGTCCCTATATATCCTTCGATTTGCACGAAATTTGGCATAACGTACTTAATTGGGCCTAGAATGATGTCTGCCAAGTTTCATGAAAATCGGTCCCGATTTAGATATAGCTCACATATATAGTTTCGTCCGATTTAATGTAAATGGGGCCCCAAAGTCCCTATATATCTTTCGATTAGCACGAAATTTGGTACAGCCTAATCATTTAGGTCTAGAATGATGTCTGCCAAGCTCCGTGAAAATCGGTCAAGATTTAGATATAGCTAACATAGATAGTTTCGTCCGATTTCATGTAAATTGTGACCAAAATCCATATATATCTTTCGATTTGCACGAAATTTGGCATAACGTACTGAATTGAGCCTAGAGTTATGTCTGCCAAGTTTCGTGAAAATCAGTCCAGATTTAGATATAGCTCCCATATATAGTTTCGTCCGATTTCATGTAAATTGTGCACCAACATCCATATATATCTTTCGATTTGCCCGAAATTTTGCACAACGTACTGAATTGAGCCTAGAGTGATGTCTGCCAAGTTTCGATAAAATCGGTCCATATTTCTATATAGCTCCCACATATAGTTTCGTCCGATTTCATGTAAATGGTTCACCAAAGTCGCTATATATCTTTCGATTTGCACGAAATTTGGCATAACGTACTGAATTGAGCCTAGAGTGATGTCTGCCTTGTTTCGTGAAAATCGGTCCAGATTTAGATATAGCTCCATTTTATTATAGATTGATTTTATGTAATTGACGCACCAAGGAACCAATAGGAACAAAACGTTCTAAAGTTAGTATAACCTAACCTGTGACAAGTTTGTTTGAAATCGCTTAATATGTGGATATAGCTTACATATATTTTTTCGCCCGATATCAAGCAAATTGGGCATCATACTCCTCATGTTAGTCAGATTGACATCAAATTTTGCACAACGTACAAAATTGAGCATAGAATTACGTAGTTGCGTTTTCTAGAAGTACAGACATAGTCAACCGGATGACCTATTTATATTTGTTTGAAGTCGATTTACACACTTTATGGACAAATCTAGGTAGATTCACATTTAGATAAATATCACATATTTTATTTCATCCAATTTCATGTTAATAGTCCTGTTTAATGTACCCATAGTGGTGAAGGGTATCCTAGAGTCGGCCCCGTCCGACTTTACTACTTTCCTTACTGGTTTAATAATGAAGATATCGAAATTCTGATTGGACACAAATTTGTTTCAAAGGATTTAGAATTATTTGAAGGGTTCATATTTTTTAATTTTTTGCATATTTTGCATATGCACGAGATATGCAAAAAATATGCAAAATATGCAAAAAATATGCAAAATATGCTAGGTCGATATGCAATAAATATGCAAAATATATGCATAAATAATGCAAAATATGCAAAAATATGAAAAATATGCACGGTATGCTAGGTCGATATGCGATAAATATGCAAAATATATGCAAAAAATATGCACGGTATGCTAGGTCGATATGCAATAAATATCCAAAAATATGCAAAAATATGCAAAATATATGCAAAATATGCAAAATATGCAAAAAAATATGCACGGTATGCTAGGTCGATATGCGAGAAATATGCAAAAAATATGAAAAATATAGGCAAACATATGCAAAATATGTGCAAATATGAGCAACATATTTCACATATGCAATCATTTTAATCAACAAAAAAAAAATTCATGGTAGTTTTCGAATTTGTGTGCTTTCTTTATTTTTAACCTATAGAAATCTAATTGTGTATGTATGCGTTTCATGGTTCAACTGTTAGATTTTTGGGGCATTATGAAAAATTTGCTAAATATATGTATAAAACATGCAAACATATATAACCGTTATATGGCGATATACTAAAACGTGGACCGATATATCCCATTTCCAATACCAAACATCCTAGGAGTAATAATAATATATGTGCAAAATTTCAAAGTTCTATCTTTAATATTGCGACCTAGCATACCGTGCATATTTTTTGCATAATTTGCATTTTTTGCATTTTTTGCATATTTTGCATATTTTGCATATTTTTGCATATGTTTGCATATTCTGCATATATTTTGCATATGTTTGCATATTTTGCATATCTTTTGCATATTTTTTTCATATTTTGCATATGTTTGCATATTTTGCATATTTTTGCATATTTTGCATATCGACAATGCATATTTTGTACATTTTTTGCATATATTTATCGCATATCGACCTAGCATACCGTGCATATTTTTTTGCATATTTTGCATATTTTTTGCATATTGTTGACATGACCCCAAATATCGATCAATTAAAGCAATTAAACGCCTAAATACAAAATTTGAGTCCAATCGGATAAAGCATAAAAAATATGCAAAAATCCAAGGTCTAATGATCATGTTTCGGTCAGTGGCCTAGATATCACATGGGATTTGTGTTGTATTTATAAGTTCAAGCATCCTTATCCGATTTTAAGTACTTGCAAAGTAGTAATAAAATATCCATTTGATTGCCTTTAATTCGGCATTCCCCATAGGGTTAGAAACTTCTCTCATAATTGCCTGTATAATTTTTGGTATAGGCTCCACATAATGTAACCGCTTAATCTTTACTTTACCATGCCTTACTGTTTTTATTTGTATTGTATAACTTATATATACAATGCAAATTGCTTCACATAACATAACTTATATATTCAAAATAATAAATCATGATTTTATGGAAAAAGTGAGCAAATAATGATGCGATAAATCTTACTCCATCTTTTCGGTTTCTTACAAAATTTAACTCTAATGAAAATATAAATTTCGATTAGAAATATGCAAAAAATATGAAAAATATAGGCAAACATATGCAAAATATGTGCAAATATGA